GCCAGCCTTCTGGTTAGCAGTCAAGTGCTTTAGCCACTATGCTACCAGAGCTCCTATCAGAAGTTCATGCTATCAGACTGTAATACCTACTACCCATAGACCAATCTTCTTCATCCTCACTGTCCCTCTCTAAGCACTACTCCCATATAATGTCATGAACCTTGGTGATTTCAGTATCATACTCTGACTTGCTCATTTCCACTGATTTTCTCCTCTATCCCATCTTGGTCACCAGTTCTTTGGCCATATCCTAGAATCTATTTTAACTGTATCCTCCCCAAGATCCTATCTCCTCTCTTTCTAAATCCTACCATTCTTTGAGCAGGACATATCATCCATTGATTCTCCTCCCTTTTCTTTGACCATCACCCTTTACACCATGCTCTCACTTTATTCTTTACCTACTCAGATTCCATGGTCCTTCTTTATAATCATACCCTTGCATAGCTCTTCTACTCCTTTGCCCTCTCTGGGTAAAATTTAAACCCTGGGAAATCCAACTCTTACCTACTTACACATGCACCCAAACAGCTGGAAAAAACATGATGGCCACACTTAAATATAACCACAACAAACTTCAAACTTCAAAGACAGCCTGTCAAAGTTACAGTTCCCTGGTTAAATCCCTCTGCCACTGGTGTAGTGGTAAGGCACTTGGCCACTAACGAAAAAGTTGGTGGTTTGAATGCACCTGCTGCTCTGTAGAAAAAAGAGGAGGCAGTCAGTCTACTTCTGTAAAGATGTAAAGCCAGAAACTTCCGGTAAGATGGAGGAACAGACAACCAAGCTACACAGACCCTCTTCAACAAAGAAAAGAGAAACCAATTGACAGAGATACAGAAGATAATCCTGGAGCCCTGAGCTTTGAAAGGAACTATACAAAAGTGGATTAGGCACCAACTAGTGGAAAAACCTGAACAAAAACAGTGAGTACAGAGACAGTCGGAGCTGCAGACTGTCAGCTACTGTGATGGGACCAACAGCCTGAATATTTCCAGGTGGTGTTGGGACTTGAGAATTGACCTAAAGATCAGCCCTGGTCACCAAGGGCTGCAGGGACAACTGCACTGGTGGCCTATGACTACGAAGGGAAACAGCAAGGGGGGAAACAACCTGAGCTGCTGACTTCCTGCTGTATGGAGGGTGTAACCATTTTGATTGTTTACATGTGGCAGCCATTTTGGATATTTACAGTGACTGAGGGCGCAGCCATTTTGAATCTTCACAAGTGGCAACCATTTTGGATTTTAAAGTGATAGCACTCTCATTCG